GAAATTGTAAACTACTAAAAATATAATTAAATAACTTGAAAAAGTTAGACTAAAATCCGTACAAAGCTCAAACTTGAAACTTTTTACGCTATAAGGCCGCAACTTTTTGCTATTAAACCAAGAAACATGTTTTTACTAATCAAACCAAAATTAAATTCAGTTCCCAATTTCTTTTATAAATCTAATCATGTTTGTAATTAAAAGAAACTAAAAAAATCAATTAAGAACATGTTTTTATTAATTAGTCAACTAAGATTTTCATAATTTCAAATAAACAAAACTTAGAGTACCACAATGAAAATTGTTTCAAAGTTAGGGGGCAGCTGCCACCCTCGTCTAAGGTAGTAGTTCCATCTCTCGTGTGTGGGTTTCTTGATATTGGAATGAGTCCTTCCATCAATGATGATAAAATTTATAGTTTAGCTATTTTCTTTAAAATTATCTATACACAAGATTATTAGTAGCAGGATTCAAACTTATGAATTGTGCATCTCTATGAAGAAATTATATTTTTAATTGTGTGAAGCTCGCCAACCAAAAAATTTGAATGTTGATGAGTATTTTTATTTGTCATAATTTTTTTTTTCTTTTTATGTGATGAAATTCATATAAATACAATATGATTCTATGATTCTAGTGATTAACAAAGTATATGAAATTGTAAACTACTAAAAATGTAATTAAATAACTTGAAAAAGTTAGATTAAAATCCATGCGAAGGTCAAACTCAAAACTTTTTAGGCTATGAGACCACAACTTTTTGCTATTAAACCAAGAAACATGTTTTTAATAATCAAACCAAAATTAAACTCAGTTCCCAATTTCTTTTTATAAATCTAAACATATTTGTAATTAAAAGAAAATAAAAAAAAAATCAATTAAGAACATATTTTTATTAATTAGTCAACTAAGATTTTCATAATTTCAAATAAACAAAAATTAGAGTACCATAATGAAAATTGTTTCAAAGTTAGGGGGGCAGCTGCCACCCTTGTCTAAGGTAGTAGTTCCATCTCTCGCGTGTGGGTTTCTTGATATTGGAATGAGTCCTTCCATCAATGATTATAAAATTTATAGTTTAGCCATTTTCTTTAAAAATTATCTATACACAAGATTATTAGTAGCAAGATTCAAACAAATGAATTGTGCATCTCTATGAAGAATTCAAATTGTAGCATGTGAGTGGCTATGAAAAGAAAATCTTATTTATTAAGCCAACTTTGTAAACGAGTAATTCTTTAATTACTCAGTAGGTTAGCCCTATTCCCTAAAAATTACTTATGAATTATGTTTTTTTTTTTTTTTTGTTTTTTTTGTCCAAATCTAAACCTTAATTGTCAAAGCTCAACCATAGGGGTGACAATTTCCTCCAATATGGAATGACTTGAATTGAAACTCATCACTAGTCTAATAACTTATTTACCATTCACAATCATACTCTTATTCTAATATAAAATTGGGACATTACAATCTCTCACATTTAAATGCTTCAAGTTCTCATCAAACCCACTTAAGTCCAATCTAAAAGCTCACAATCCTACTATCCACCCTAAGTAATGTGAGATTTCAAAGGCTAAAACTCAATCATGCCACCACCGTTCACTCTAAGACCCCACTATACCAAGGGGGACTCCTTTCAATGACTCATGTTAAGATCTCCTGGCATGGCCTCACACATGCAACTTCTTAGATGCCAATTGAACAAATAAGGTTGAAAGATGTCATTAGTCTAACAATTCTTTGAAGCAAAGTCAATGGATCCTTAAAAGCTCAAGTTTAAGTTGTTAATTATAATTGGTCTATACACTTACATACCAATCATAGTTGTACTCCTTTCCATGTGGGATTAGGGTGTTACATAAAAATCAAAGAATATTCCTCCCTAGAATAAGGATAGGGAAGAATTTTCCCCATAAAAAGTTTGTTGAGAGTTATCTTGTGAGACTTTGTAAGGACTCCAATACTTGTGAAAAGAAAAATATACTAATATATTTTAGGTTAAATGTCAATTTTGGTCCCTTAACTTTAAGGTTTTGCACAATTTTCATCCCTCAATTTTTTTGCACTTTTTTGGTCCCTTAGCTATTAAAAATGCACTTTTTAGTCATTCTGTCAATTAATCCATTAAGTGTATCTGAATTTACACGTTTTTAGTTCCTTAACTTCTAATATATGCACATTTTTCGTCCCTCAATTTAAAGTTGAGGGTTGAGGGACTAAAAATGTGTAGATTTAGATAAACCTAATGGGATAATTGACGGAAGACTAAAAGGGTACATTTTTCATAGTTAAGAGGCCAAAAAAGTGTAAAAAGAAGGTTGAGGGATGAAAATTGTGTAAAATCTTAAGTTGAGGAACCAAAATTAGCATTTAACCTATGTTTTAAGAGATTAATGTTTATCAACCATGTCTTTAAAAGATAAAGAAGAAAATCTACTCAAAATTATATTATTTCAATAAACTTTTATTAAAAAATTAAAAAATTTATTTTTAAAAGAGAACCATGTAAATCAACCCTCCACTCCGCTTTAGATTGACAATCACCTCCTTAACTTTTTTTTTTTTTTTGGCCAATAACCCCTTTTAGTTGTTCATCTAGGCAAATTAACCCTTATTTCATGGATGATGTCACTTGACTTCATCAATCCGTCACATGTGTATTTAATTTTCTTGATTGTCACCACTCCCCGGTCAAGAAAAAAAAAATTGAAAGAAAGCAATATAAGAAATTTATAATAATAATAATAAAAAAGGCTATCTGATTGAACCTAATCATGTGGGTCAAGTGGCTTTAACCACTTTTGTAAGGTTCATATTCACTTCTCCAAGGGCAACAGTTCGTACCAACTCAATAACTAAATGTTCAAAAAAAAAAAGATTATCCGATTTAATTATCCAATTAGTAGAAAGTAAAATTATTTAAAGACACAGAATTCACATTAGAAACTAAAAGTGCCACATAAGAAGACAGAGGAAAGGTCTTTAAGGGACGATGATATATACAATAAGAATCCAGTTTAGAAGTCAAACTAATTTGATTGGGTGATTTTATATTTAATCTGATGGAATTATAGTGATTATTGAGTGGGAAATTTAATTTGTTTAGCAAGATTTTGGTTTGATTCCAAATGCTAATCCAGCTAATACCTTAAAGAATCTGTGTATGCTGTCCAATTTCATAGTGCCTTCAGATTATCAAACTGACGCCCCCAAATTTCAAAATATAAAACTTTGATAAATCATATATTGGAGTTAGGATGAGCTTACATTAGTCTATATTACACCATAATTTACTTTAATTATTTTTCTTAGAGTTTGTATTTTGAGAAATCAATCATTGAATTTAATATTTTATTTGTATAAATTATACATGTGAAGTTTTAAAAGAGTGATATCCATAACTATAAGAATGAAAAAAAATTATATTTTCTATCATATTTATTTAACAATATAAAATTAAGTGCAACTATATATATAATTAAACATATTTAATTAATTTAAAATTTGACATGTATGATCTACAAGAATCTTGTTAATAATAATAATTATTATTATACATAAAATTGTTATAATAATAAAATACTCCCTAAAATTCTCATATAAATACCAAATGGACTTCATTTGAAAAAATGCCTATTAAAGAATATTAGGATAATTCAAATATAACATAAGGAGTTTAAGACACATAAATTAGGAAATTAATTTATAGAACACGGTGTGAGACCTACGTATTATCAGTCCCCTCTTCCTATTTAATCGTCTCGATAATCGTAATTAAAAACTATAGAATAATAATTTAATATCAAATAATTATACAAAACGCAGTTGCTCCAAGGAAGGATGATTTAACCAATCCTCTTGATACAGTTGGTATTAATATCAGTGTAAGTCTCCTTTATTTATATTGTTAATTAGTGCAATATTTTAATAAAGAAGCACAGTATGTGAAGTATTTATGGAAAGAACAAGGGAAAAAATTTCTTTAAAGTGGCTCTACTAAAATTTTCTTTCAAATTAAGTGAAGACTAAAATTTTAAGTCTTTACAAAGTAAAAATACTCTAATTGAATTTCATATAAGTGAATTAGGGTTTTATGAAAAGTTCAAAATACCCTTTTTTGGCAGATAATTAAAATGTTAACTACTTATTAATTTTAATTAAATAAATATTATTTAAAAAAACCAATAAACAAAAATTCCCCTTTCATATCTTTTATTATTTTGGTTAATGATTTTTATGTTACTAATTAAACATAATTCAAATTTTTAATTTTTATTATCAAAATTTTAATTTTTTATTAATATGATTCATTTAATTAACCAAATTCTTTTAATTTTCTAAATAAAAAATCTTTTGATTTTTAATCGTTAACTAAAGTTAAATATTTTAATTAACTAAATTTTTAATTGAATTAATCAAATCAAAATAAATAATTCTAAATATAAAATAGTTTAAAATAAAACAAAATATTTTCACCTCTAATGATGAACAAGGTAGTAAGAAAAATAGAGAGAGAGTTTTGATTGTCATTTTTTAATTGGATAATAATTTATTTAATTAATACCAATAAAAATTTAATAGTTTAATTATTACATCATAAAAAGGGTATTATAGGTAAATAAAAATTCTTGATACATTTATAATAAATTTTGTTAGAGCATTTTCATTTTTAGAAGATTTAAAATTGAGATTTCATTAAACAATGATGAATGATCTGGTGGACATACCATAAGAGAATTTTTCCAAAGAATAATATCATTAAATTAAACTCTATTCAATATTTATATATTCAAAATATTGGACACTATCCAGTTATTATTATTTATGATTTTATTAAATAAAAAATTTGAATTCTTAAAAGTAAAAAAAATATTTTTGTTTAGTAGTATGAATTATAATTTGAGTTTAAAGTTCTGCCAGTGGATATCCTATACATTTCTACGACTCCGCGACAGCAGGCTTTATGTTTACGTCTGCTAGAAAATTTATTTTTTCGTGCCTCGGCGGCTGCAAGCACATTTCGTTTCCAGGTTACGCAGTGGTCTATCTTAGCACTCTCCATTGTTTCTTTGGTTTCCAGTGGTTCACTTCCCACCATGCCCTTTCTCCAATTACTATTTTACTCTCCTTATTGTGATTAACAAACCAAGGACACTTTTGAAGTCTTTAATGTTCTTTCAAGACAACCATTTTAAACTTTTATACATGAATGCACTTTTATCTTTGTGACGATAATCATTTAATCACAACACATCTTATTATTTGGTGTTTTTAAATTGAATTACAAGTAAGTCGCATGCTTGGAAGAAGTAAGAATTGCCCAAAAACGTTCTTTCTTTGAGCAAAACAAGTGACATACTTGGTTAAATTTTAGAGATAACCCTGAGATTTGTACAAGCCAAACTGAAAAATAAAACTAATACTCGTCAAGACCTTTGCATCCATTGCGATCACAAGTACTTTTCGCTAAACAAAAGGAGTAAAGAAAGAGGCATTTGATTATTGAATAAAGGAAAAATCCAATCTATTGATTAACAGTCGAAAAGAGTGCTGCCTGCAGGATTCAAACAATTGCCAGCAGCTGCATAATCAAACTGCCATTCCAGCAAAAAATATTGAAGATCTTATGAGGGCACAAAAATAGAATTTTATCTGACACTTGTATGAACATATTTGATAGGAGACCCACTTACAATCCCTGTTGCTCAAAAGCTCTAACTCCTGGAAAAGAAAAGTGTCAGTACAAGAAAACAATAAGAAAAGAATTGTCCAAGTCAAGGGAGAAGAATAAGCTAACCTATTCCCAACGTTATCCATCCACACAAAAGAATGATTAATAGATTGCTGAATGGAAGACCTGCAGAGAAGCAAAAAGGGAGATAGGAGATGCGGCCAGAAAAAATTCAGCCACCAAACTGTATCCTGTGTTTCTTTATCTATAAAACAGTCCTTCATTTATCCTAACAAGAAGGTGTCATGAGAACTAAAGCAAAATTGATTCTCTACCACCCCAAAATGAAGGCATGTACTTCATCCCAGTATTGGACAGTGTAAAGAACACCAGAATGCCGCCCCTTCCAGTTAGAAAAGCTTCCTTCAACATCTCCATTCTGTTTCTTAACCAGTGCACGATACAATGGAACAAATGAAATACCATAACGTTTCCCCAGTCTCTTTAGGCTTGGACTAGATGCTATAACAATGCCTATATCTGCTTCAAGCAAACAAAGCAAATCACCCATTGTGTCTCCAATGTAAACAGTCAAGATCTTTTTGCCACTGGTGCGGTCTTTTAAGATATTTTTGAAAGCTTCAAGCTTGTCAATGGGAGACTCCATCTTCCTAACAAGTTCACCGGTGGAAATTGATTCTTCAAAAACAAGCTCATTTGCATGTACATTCAGAACATCTACACCTGCTGCTTGAAAATGAATAAACAAATCACTATAAACAGCCTGAAAAATTTACAGACAAAACAAAGCATAGCTTGTTGAAATAACATTAAGAAAAGTTCATGAAGAGACAAAGGATTTTACTTTTCTCAAGGGCGGGGGTGGAGGTGGAAGAAGCAAAGAAATGTTCAACCAAAATTATTTAAATCGAACTCGGTTTTTGATCAGGAGATATCAAACCATTAATTGCAGAGGCTTGAGAATGAATATAAAGTCAACCAAAAAGGAGAATAGTTTGATCACAATATCAATCAAAACACTGCAAATCACCTGTTTTAACTGCCTGAGACAATCAGGCAGAAGAGTAGAAAATCAAAAAGGGGGACTTGAAACAATTTAATAGGCAAACGATCATATATAATCATATATTAAATTAATCAGTCACTCTAACATCCTTGTGGAGAATGCAATGCTGTCAAAATAAAAGGTGCATACCTGACAAAAAAACCATCTTGATTAAATCACCAGACCAAGAGCAAGAAAGAATATGGACATCTGTATTCAGGTTTTCATCCTTAACAATTTTCTGAAAAAAACTAGCACATCCATCTCTAAGTTTCATGCGTTCACCAGCTCGTTTGATATCTTCAAGATGAATACCCTTGAGTACACTAGACTCTATCACTCTAGAATTTGCCTCTTTTTCAAAATCTGATACTTGCTCAAGGGCTTTATGCAGGGCATCATAGTTGAACTCAACTGCAAAACCAGAGTGAAAAAAAATAAATAAATAAATTAAACAATATGAAAACAGTACTGAATGTTCTCTCTCTCTCTCTCTCTCTCTCTCTCTTTTTCTTTGGCAAACATATCTGAATGCTTTCTAGAACATAAATTGAAACTTTAGTATAACATAGAACTGCAATATATAACTGTACCTTTTTGAGGGGGCATTATATTTTTTATGCAGGCTTCATATTCATCTGTGTACCGGTTAGAAATTACAGCCCAGGTGTTTTTCAGCTCAGTGGATGACATCCTAGAAATTTTACCTTCAGGTTGGTTCAGATCGGATTTTGGGGCTTTAACTATTGCCATTTCTGCCAAAATGGCAGATGAATCAACAACCGAGCAAGTAAGATCAAAATCAGAAAATATCAATAGGCGATCTTCTGCAGGATTTTGATCTCTTGTCAGAGGAACAACAGTTGGCTGAGAAATTGGCTGAGCATGGAAGAACTCAATTTCAAGTTTCATGGCTTGCTGATATAGCTTCTCAATGATGTCTAGTTCCTCGCTTGTCAAAGATACACTAAGTTTTTCCAACAAGTCTTCAGTTTTCAGTGCTGATGCCTGTAATCCAACTATAAATAATAAGCTGTTGGAGTTATAGGGGCATTTATTTAAAACCATATGAGCAAAGAACAGTCAAATTAACAACAAGAAACAACTAACAACAAGAAACAACTAACAACACAGAAAAGATCACCTATCCTATCAATAACAAACCTGAAAGCCTTCTGAAGCATAATTGTCAATCCAACTTTTGTAGGGATGAGGGCCTTGAATATGATCCAGAAGTCCCTTAAATTCCTTTCCTAGAAAGGCATACAATCTCATGCAGGGTGTCATAGCCCCTAGTGTGTAAGCTGCAACTTTTGTTCTTTCAAATGGGGTAGCAAGTTTTCCAGGAGCTTTTCCTACTTCAACCTTTCCTGCAGCTGTTGCCAACAAGAACTCCGTATACTTAATTGTTGCAGAATTAACAGGGATCTCTTTAGCAACATCTAGACCCCACTCCTGCAGGACACCCAAAATCAAGGCAATGAGGATAATTGCTTAGAAGATAAGAAATGAGAAGTGCCTCTGGATTGATACATAACTACTTTAGTGAGTACATAAAGTCACCAGGTCTTTTAAATAGCACAAAAACTAGGATGGTAGATGTACCCATTGAAGATCCAATGGTAAATATTTTACATCATCAGCTATCCTCATCTAAACTGATTTCAAGGACAAGATGAAAGTTTGTGCATAAAAAATTACAAACCCCTTAATATGTTCACCATATAAAGCCAATTAAATCAGAACTAGAATTTTATACTGGAGCAAACTCACTTTTAAGAAATTAGGTCTTAATGTGGCCAGCCAAATTACTTGGCTATCAATGCAACCAAACCAAAACTCTATGGCCTTTGGTTAAATTACATGAAGCCTTATTGTAATACACAAAAGGTGAGTTTCACTTCATTCTGGGAAGAAGTACCTAAACCCATGCACTTTGGTGAAATTACAGGAAGAAGCCTTAGTATTATACACAAAAAGTGAGTTTGATAAATAATTAGGGTGAGAAAACAGCCTGAAATATTTTATCATCTCATTTAGTTCCATTGACTAGTGCACCTAGTTCTCTGTAACATTTACTGAAATATCTCCCTCCACATAGACTCATAAACATTCAAAAGTGTTTTTATTCTTTGGCTTCTCCAGTGTCATTAATGACAAGTTAGTGTGGGAACAAGTTAGAGAAAGAATCTGCTTCCAATAGGGAGGATATGGAATCAAATCAATGATGTCAATGATCCTTAAATCAGCTGAGACACCTACCCTGCCATATGTTGCATCTTTTAATCCAGTGAATCAAAACTAATAACACTTTTATAAAAGAACAGAAAAGTAAAAGAGGATATCGAATCCAAACTACAGGAAATCTAGGTGGGACCTACATTATGTCCCACCCACATATGATTGAGATTGGATGTCCTAAAATTTTTAAAAATAGGGCATTCTGACTTTCTGCATTCTTATAAAAGAATGGTCCCATAAAACAAAAGTCCGAATATGCAGGAATTACAGCTGGACATCAAGGAAGGAGGATCCTTTATTCCTATTGTTTTAATAATAAATAGTTAATGGTAAAACACCTTAGACACTCTTTCATATATGAAACTAGTTCAACTGCATTCCAATCCTAATTCCACAAGCATAGGCTCCATTTGTTTTAGATATTAGGGAACAACCATCGGCTGATAGTCTCTAATTGGACAAATAAGAATAACAAATAAGAGTATTTGGATTATACACAACAGAAACTATTGGCCTCAAAGATACCAGCTCTCAACTCCAAAAAGGACCATAGTGGTCTTTATCAACAATGAAACTCAGAAAAGATAAAGACTTGCAAATCATTGGGCCTATACCTGCACCCTTTCTGGTATGTTCTTAGTTGTACTTCTGTACCCAATACATCTTAGTTCCTAAAGTTTCATTAAAAATATAAAAGATGTTAATAAATTTATTTCAAAATTCATAATTCACTACAATCAAAATCTTGGCATCTTGAGCTCCATTGACAAGAAGAAAAACCTGAATCAATATGAGTCATGATGTGTGGGTTCCTACCGGCCCTTGCACTGTTTTCTCACTTACTAAAGCTCTTATAAGAGTTCCATTCTACAACTTGAAAATGTCATTAAACATTGGAAAAGGATTTAATTGCATTTTTTTTTTTCATTTTTCTCCCTTGCATTTTTTTTATTAACAGCATTAGCTAATATGACACTTCCCCTGACTAGGAACCCCAAAACATGGATATATGGAAGGCATAAGGGGGACCCATTAAATTTGGACATAACCAGATCCAGTATAATGATTATTAAGAGTATTTAAAAAATTGCGAAATGATTTCCACTGTTGACAAACAAGAGAACATTTGGAAACTGAGAATCAACCTCATCAGACCCAGAATAATGTGCACACTACCATATCCATTTTTCAGCAAATTTTGGATATGATTTCACTGGAAAGTTTTAAGGAGCTAACATGCCTAGAATATACTTTGAAGTCCTGACAAGATAACGTACAGAAAAGACATGTATTAGAGAAATATAAGCATTTCGGAAGACCAAAAATAAAACCAGATACATGTACTTTCCTCCATAATAGCTAATAAACAATACAACAACCAGATAACAAAACCAAACCCTCATCCAATTTCGTTATCACTCATCTAACAAAGAAAAGAAATATTTTGCAGGTCAGTCTCCCATATCATAAAAAATGTTAAATAAATCAAAAAACTAATCAACAAATCTAAGCACAGAGATCCTTCTAAAAATCTCTCCAGAACAGTTCTGGGAAAAACTCTGGATTAAATCTATATTCTGCCATTTTTAAGAAGCATCGATGCAGCATTAAAAGCTAAATATGTTTAGCCTATAAAACCCTACAAAAGAGATCCTCAATCTAGCTCAAGACATGTTCCTCAAGACTGAAATGTTGAATCTCCATTTCACAACTACCATGAGAAATTAGAAAGTGTTCAGTTGCTAACAAGCAGAACCATTTCATTCAAGCTTAGCATGTTCCCACAGTTATGGATACTGGTTCCAAGCATTCTGCTTCTATGACAAAAAATGAGTTCCCATTATTCAAATAAACCTAGGAGAGTTAATTAATCCCATTGACCTCAATTGAGCAAATGAATTAATCAATTACCTTAGTTGTGCTTACAAGCAATGATTAATTTTATAACCCTGTAATACATTGGATGTTTATATCTAAACTATATTGATAAATGCCAGAGGAGTTAAACTTGAAGTCTGGGGTCAGATTACAATTCTTGATTCTTGAAACACCAAAATTTTCCTTACAGACATCATTTTAATTATTTTCCAAAAAAAATAAAGTCTCACATCCAAGCCATAGCAGATCAAAGAATAAATTTAGAGTTTCGATTTTTTATTCTTCCTCCAAAGTTTCTCAAGGACAAAACATGAAGTCTGAAATAAGAAGAGGTGTTCTTGTCTTACCCGTGCAAAAGAATCATGCATTTTTAGCTCCTCCAATACATCCTTCCTCAACTCAGAGATTACTAACTTAGCATCATCATCATCTGCACAATCCTCTGCCAATTCATAGCTAAAAATCCAAAAATACAAAACAAGTAGATTAAAGACCCCCAATTATATAGCCTAATATGGTAATTTTTTTTTCTCATGGTACCTAATGGGGTTATCCTAAATGAAACACGCTACTAGAAATCAATATGTATTTATCTTCCTTCCATGTTAATTTCTCAAAAGTCAAATCTCATACATTCTTTTTCCTCAAATAATTAAAATCTAACACAACAATTTGTCACTGAGAAAGCTGACAAATAGAAGAGAAAATAAATGTCTAAATCATGCATTTCAAACGGTGTTTTCTATCTAAAAGGCAATAAACATACCAAAAGCAAAGCAAGTACACATAAGCCTAGTGAAGTTGAGATTTAAGCTTATTCCAATGAAATTGGACCAACTAAAGTTCCAAAATTCAGTTTCATTAGGTTGGCTAATTTACTCCAACAAACATCTGATCATAAAAATTAAAATCTCATTCATCTTCATTTCTATCGTTTTTCACCTACGATCACAAAAAAGGGGTCTTCATTAAAACAAATAGACCAGCTGCATTTCTGATGTATCTAAATGGATTATAAGACTGTGAGTTCAATCCCAAATATTAGGAATGATAAATAGAAAGTGAAACCAATCATCTATAAAGTCTATTCTTTCTTTCCTGAAATAAAGAAAAGATTCAAGAAATTATTTCATTATTTTCTGCCTTTCCAATTTTTACTCAGGAAAACATACATAAAAGAGATGGTTGAAAGAATTATCTGCAAATATAGTATTAACTTGAGTTCCAAAAGCAGCTCATATGGTATCAATAATAGAGTAAATTTTATAGGTTTAAAAAAAAAAAAAAAACTACAACAACAACTTGCAATTGAGATAAGTAAGAAGTACTAATTTTCTTTTTATTTCTTTCCGCTTTCTGATCAACCAAGCAGACTTACAAGACATAAAATAATGATATAAATCAAAGAACTAAGTTATTCATCACAAGTCTTCTAAGCAATCCGATACGCCTAAAAATGAAAATAAAGAAAAAAAATCTTGAAACAGACAAATCTCAGACTTAGTATCCAATTTGGCTCCCAACAATCAAAAACGCTAGATACATCCAAATCAACGCCTGAAGAAAAACAATTGAAACAAGTTTTAAAAATTGGAAAGCAAAGGAAATGGTAGTACTCACGCTCGCGCAAAGGCTTTCAGGAAGTGAACATCCTGCGCAATATAGTGGCGGAAGGTGTCAATATTGAGAGTTCCGGCTACTAAGCAAAGCGCAAATGGTGAGTAGGAAGCGAATACGGCCTCTTTGACGAATTTGTTGAACAGTCTTTTCGGGAGAGACTCCTCGGTGGAGCTGCTACTAGAAAACGCTATAGCAGAAGTTCTCATTGGATTTGATGACGATCTCGTGTTCGGAGACAGTTGGACGGAATTGAGCCGGCTATGAAATCGAAGGCGACTGAGGAGAGCGGTGGCTAGCCGGGGTTTGATTAGGCCTGCGGTGGAGAGAATGCGCATCAGGGACAGAAAAATGAGCAGTTGCCTTCGCTGCATTTGTGACAGTGTGGGAAGGGAGGGAAGATTTTATCCATTGGCTGAGTAAAAAAATTCGCCTTTACTATTAACCGCGTGGACCTTTTTTGGCCCTTTTAAAGGCAATTATTTTTTTCCAAAAATCCGAAACGCAGCCGTCGACCAGTAGTTAAAAAAAGTGCACCGCAGGCTTCTCCATATATATATATTTTTTATAAAGAATAATAACACATACCATACCAGCAAGATATAGCACTTGTTTTTTTTTTTTTTATTGTTTATTGCTATAATATTCCTTAATTAATTTTTTATATAAAAGCTCATTTTTGTATCAATACGATACGTTTAAAAAATTTATTTTTTTTAATATTGGCCCAAAGATTGAAACCAGAACTAGGCATTCGCAATAAATCGAGCTGCTAAGAATAACACTGCTCGTTGTATCTTTCAAAATATACTCCCTGATATATTACGTTAAATATATTCATTTTTGGGGCTCAACCTTAAATACTATAAATATCTTGGTTGGAATTTATCCGTTTAATTTAATTTTTTAATTTTTTAAGTATTAATTTTAAATGATAATTTAACATGAAATTATTCACAAAAATTACATATAAAAAATTTAATTATCATTCATATATTTTATAAATTTTCATTTAAAATTAATGTTTAAAATATTTAAAAATTAAATTAACACTACTAAAATATTTAATTAGTTGTTTTTTATTATATTTATTTTAATCTAATTAGTTGTACTTGATTTTAGTTTCAAATTTATTACTATTTTAATAAAAGAAGTATTTATTAGCCATATTAATAAAAAAATAAAATAAAAATATTTTAAAATTAATTTATTTTAATAATTTTTATATAAAAAATTAAAATATTATAATTTTTAAAAAAGAAAGAAGACTGTTCACCTCGAACATACCATTACTGGGATCTTTTAGTAGTTGTGCTCATCGCTTCGCGACATGGAGCGCCTCTCCCCCGTCATTTCGTGACAACCGTGCAACACTATGAGACCAACTTGGGCTCTTACTCCTTTCTTACTGCATTTTTATTAAAATAACTTATTTTAAAATATTTTTTATTTAAATTTTTTTAGGTTAAAACTTTATTTTGATTCATGAACTATTATACAAACCTTTAATTTGATTCTTAAATTAAAAAAATTCTTGATTTGGTTCTATACTGTTTATCATTTTAATCTCAATTTAATCCTTCCGTTAAAATTTTACCTACCTATGCCGTTGACTAACATAAGCATAATGATATCTCGAAAAATAATCCACGTGGAAAGACAGCACGATAGAAAATAATGATTTGATAATAAAAATTTTAAAAATTCCCTTTCTCCTTTTTCTTTCTCTTTTGCCTTCTTCTTTCCTTCATCGATCAATTCTTCATCATCATCAAATAACAAAACCCACAAAAACAAAGAAATTTTTTTTATTGAAGATCATGCTTGGGGTCTATCAAAACCCAGCAAACACCCTTTCTCCTTCTTTTTTCTTGCCTTCTTCATCAATCAATTCTCCTTCTTCATCAATCAATTTTTCATCTTCATTAATTAATTCTTCATCTTCATCAAACAACAAAACCCAAAAAAAAAAAACAGAAAAACAAAAAAATTTTTTTCCCCTAGGCTCGATGGAACCCAACATCGGGTTCCAAGAAACCCAGGCCTAGGTTCCATGAAACCCAACGCTTAGGGTTCGAGAAATCCAATGCTGGGTTCGACGGAACCAAGATGCGGGTTCCATGGAACCCAATGCCTAGGTTTTGAGGAACCCAATGCCTAGGTTTTGAGGAACCCAACGCGTGAGTTCCGAGGAACCCAACCTAGGTTCGAAGAAAAAAGAAGGAAAAAGAAAAAAAAAAGAAAAAAATTTTTTTTGTCATATTAATATTTTTTATTATATTATTTTTTTTTTCCATGTCACTTTTTTTTACCATGTTGTTTTCCATGTGTATTAATATTTCACCATGTAATCATGTTACGGTAAATTAAGTCAACACGTACGTAGAATTTTAACGAAAGGACCAAAGCATGGTTAAATAGTAGATAGTTGGGATTAAATTAGAGATTTTTTTTAGTTTAGGGACCAAATCAAGGGTCTGTACAATAGTTTGGGGACTAAAATGAGATTTTAACCTTTTTTTTATACATCTTACTAATAAATATTAATTTTATTTAACAATATATATATGATATATTATAATTATAATGTTATGTAAAATTATAATATGATATTAAATAAATATAAATAAACATATATAATATTGTAGATGGACTCTTTAAATTAAAAAATTAATTATATAATATTATATCATGTTATAAATTTATAATATCATATAATAATGTAATTATAGTATTTTTAATATAGCAATATTATAATTGTAATGTTATAAATGATTATAAGTCTACAATCATAATGTAATATTAAATAAATATAATATGATATTAAATTAATAAATACATATAATATTATCAATAAGCTTTTAAATAAAAAAAACTAATTATATAATGACATATGTGTTATAAGTTTACAATACAATATAATATTATAATTATAATATTTTTATTTTCGATAAATCCCATTTAAAATGAACATGAGAATCCATGCCATTTTATAAACTTTAATTTATTAATTGAGTTATCTATTTTATAACTTGAATTGCAAAACAAAATTTTTATCTAAAAATTAATATTTTATAATTTATAATAATTTAGACCATAAAATACTTTTTTATTATTAATTAATCAAAAAAATATTACTTTCATAAAAAAAAATTGACCAATCATCAAAATCAGTTTTTCTTTTTTATTTTTTAATGAAATTTTTTGAATTTCAAAAGTTTGAATTCATGGCAATTTAACATGCCACCTAGGCGTTTTCATGGGAGAAGGATCAAGTTTGGGAATGGAAAAATAAAGTTTAAGGATGAATTTGATAATTTTTTAAGTTTTAAAGCTTGATTGGCTCAAAACTAAATGTTGAGGAGGGACCAAAATAGTGATTTAACCTAACGTCATTCTTCCGGTTCCTGTTATCGTTTCTCTTTTATAAATTGGTTTGATTCTTCTCCTTCCCGAATTTATGTTGTTTAATTTTCCTCTCGGAAGGTCTGTTTGTTTCCTAGGGATTTTTGAAGAGACAAAGATATGTCGTTTGATCTTCTGCTGAAGCCAACGTGTAGCGGTTGCGGATCGACTTCGGATTTGTATGGAAGCAACTGCAAGCACCTGACTCTGTGTGTTGGCTGTGGCAAGACCATGGCCGAGAACAAGGGAAAATGCTACGAGTGTGGTGCCATCGTGTCTCGCTTGATTCGGGTTTGGCGTCTCTCTAGTTTTTTTTTTTATATCTGTCAGATTTATGCTTTTAAGTTGATATCTGTATCAATTTCTGTTACTCTTGAGATGCCTTCTGATTCTACTTTTATCCCTTTTCAATGATGAGTGATTATGTTGTTGAGGGCCAATGCATGAATGGTACCCTTTGATTTTCTTATTTTCAGAAAATAAAAGAGGGAAAAGAAAAAAACGGAGCTTTGATACCTTTGTAGTTTCTTCGGAAATTCCTTCTTCAATTCCTAGTGCAATTAGGGATATAGTCAAAAAGGGAGATAATTATAATCTGTTTGTGTTTGGGGGTGAAAGGGTTGAATTGCAATTTTTAGGGATTTTTATGGGTGTGAATGATTATGTTCAGTTATGAGACCTTCTGTAGAGTTAATTTGGTCAAGGATTTGGGTCTTAAAGTATTGTTACTTGCAGATATTAATGGCTTCAACAATATGCCTCGTCCTATTACATGTTTGTCCTTGATAGGTTGAAGTGAGTAGCTAATATTTCTGCTAAAAGATTGAGTTGAGAGAGGTTCACAATACTTTTTGTTTTAGTTAACTATCTGAGGTGGTTGTTGAAGTATTCATATATTCACTCTTTTGCAAACCTATCCCAAACCTGCAGCCGCAACAAATATACTCTTTTTTTTTTTTTTTTTTTTTTAAGGACAAAAACAGGCTCTGCTATTTTGATAATTAAGTTGTGTAAATTCTACTGTGCTTCTTTTGCAGCTCTATATGCTTTTAACTGTAGCCTAAGGCCAGGAATTGTGTTCTCAGAATGCCATGGATAGATAATTACTTTGAAATACTATTTACGTAGTAGCATTGTTATCTCTCATGTTGTCACAAAATTGGCTTCTTGCAAAGAACTAGAACCCTAATAAGAATCTTGTTTTGTTGGGTTTGGCAATAGGTGTGACTGCATGAAGTTGATGATTGGATGATGTGGCAATAACTATTTTTGAACTTGATTTTGAGGACACAGTTTAACTGAGAACTACTGATTTAGTGATTTTGTTTTCTTGAGTCATGGAGTAGATTATTGTTCAAAGTAGTAGTCCCCACTCTACCAAGCTTTCTGCTTCACAAATATTTAAAATGCTCTTAGTTTCTAACAAAAGGAATCTTTGTTAATGACTTGTTAAAACCAGGAGTATGATTCTGGCCTTTTACTGTTATTTTAAGTTTCAATTCAAGCAAGCACTTGTGGATGGCAACCATGTTATTGTGTGCAATGTGTTATGGAATTGACTAAGGTTGTCTGCTTCATGTCTATAACTTTCTCTAACCCTCTTATCCCTTCTTGTTAATAATTCTTTTATTTTCTCTATCCTTGTGAGCCTTGAAGTTCCATTTATTATTTTTTGGGTTTTTCCTTTCCAATTTAGGAGTATAATGTGCGTGCAAGTCATAGCAGCGACAAGAACTACTTCATTGGTAGGTTTGTGACTGGGTTGCCAAACTTTTCAAAGAAGAAAAATGCTGAGAATAAATGGGCTTTGCACAAAGAAGGAATGCAAGGCCGCCAACTTACTGATGCCTTGCGGGTATTGATATTTATCTTTATTTTCTGTTGCTTGCTTTCATTTTTCTTTTGGCCAGAGCTGTTGCTTGCTTATTGCTACCCTTTTTCTTGTTGTTTGGTAGAGTACAAATCATTGGTGAAGTTTTGTTGTGGCTTATCTAATCTGTGTCTAACTGACGAATGAAACACTGCTTGGTGAATTAATGAATATCTCTACATTTCTAGCAATGTTTCTGTTTGGTTGTGTAGTTGTACAATTGAATTGTTTGTTCTGTGCTTTTTCACTTTCTGTCTCACCTAACATCAGGTACAAATGCTTCTAATTTAAGCCCTGGTTTTTCAAAGGCTAGCTTTCATTAATGACTTCATTGTGTAGGAGAAATACAAGAACAAACCTTGGCTATTGGAGGATGAAACAGGCCAGTCTCAGTATCAGGGTCATCTTGAAGGTTCACAATCAGCAACTTACTACCTACTGATTTTGCAAGGAAAGGAGTTTGTTGCTATTCCTGCTGGTTCTTGGTATGCATTACCTTCTGTTTTGCTGTATAGTAAAAGCAGCTCGTACTATTTATTTACCATACTTGTTTGGTTTCTCTTTGGTATATACTACCCTTGGCAATATTTTAAAATCCTTATTTCTGTAATTTTGCACTCCCATCTTTAGGAGTTAGCTGATGCTATTTTATGAACTCATTTTTTCCATACTGTTGCACTTGGTAGGTTTAACTTTAACAAGGTTGCACAATATAAGCAACTTACATTGGAGGAAGCAGAAGAAAAAATGAGGAACAGGAGGAAGACTGCTGATGGGTATCAGAGGTGGATGATGAAAGCTGCAAATAATGGACCTGCTGCATTTGGTGAAGTGGAGAAGTTTGATGACAAAGAGGGTGGTGCTGCTGGTGCGAAAGGACGGAAAAAGCCAACTGGTGATGAAGACGAAGGTCATGTCTCAGATAGAGGGGAGGAAGATGAAGAAGAGGAGGCAGCTAGAAAGAATAGGCTTGGGCTCAATAAAAGAGATGGTGATGATGATGAAGAAGGTCCAAGGGGAGGTGATCTCGATATGGATGATGATGATGTTGAGAAAGGTTAGCATTAAAGTGTTATTTTTTTTTTCTTCTTTTTTTTTTTTTCCTGAATTTTGTTTTATAGATTGGATTTAGCTAGTTATATTTGTCCAAGTTATTATCCTTGGTTGCACCAAATTATGGAATTATCTCATCAAATTTGTTTGTACTGGGCTATTTTCCCTTCAGGTGACTCATGCTTGCACATAAGTACACAGACATTGGCTCCCATTTTAGGTTTGCAACCATGATTTGCATTTTTTTCTCATTTATTAATATTCTTTATTCTTGTAGGTGATGACTGGGAGCATGAAGAAATATTCACTGATGATGATGAGGCTGTTGGTAATGATCCTGAGGAACGGGAAGATCTGGCTCCTGAAGTTCCTGCTCCTCCAGAGATCAAGCAGGTTTGCTGTTATTAGCTTTCAGCAATCTCAGAAATCTAGGTTATAGCATGTGTATTTGGTATGATTTTGAAAGTCTTGTCAGATTTTGGCCTCCTATCCCAAATATATATATAAAGAGGTTCACTGTAGGTGTCAAGCAACTTTTGTACTATACTTAAAAAGGTTCATCCTTTTTTCTAGGTAGAGGATTAGGAGATTTCATGAAGAAGATTGCCTAATGCCTACCTAAACTCTTGTTACTCATGACCATAGGATAAGTTTTCCAGCAAGTTATGTTCAAGTCTATTGGAAAGAAATGTAAATTCTTCCAATTAGAGCTGACAATATTATGAACCTCTTTTTTTTAACTTGTTACTTGTGTTGCCTGGCTTTGGCTTGGAATATTTCATCAGTATCCTATCCTGCTTGTATGTCAATTGCAGTTAACTTCAATCTAAAAATAGTTGGGCCCTACCTCTCTTTTTGCGTACTTCTCACAGATGTCAGTCTCTTTTAGGGGGATATTTCTTTTTTATTTTCATTTTGCAAAGTTGTACTGCTAACTGCTTGCCTAACTTGTTCATCAGCTAATGGTAACTGTGCTTGCCCTGTTCCTATCTCTCGGACTAGAGGCAGTACAAGGCCATTCTGAACTGCAAAACATAACTCAAGCAATCTGTAACATGCACTTCGGACATTCTTGCAGGATGATGAAGATGAGGATGAAGAGGAGGAAGGAGGACTGAGCAAGTCCGGAAAAGAGTTGAAGAAGCTGTTGGGGAAGGCTGGTGGACTTAATGATTCAGATGTTGAGGATGACGATGACGATGATGATGAGGTAAGTTTTGTGATTCCCAAGGGAGATATTGTTTTAATCAGTTAAGGCAAAGATATTATTAAACTAAGTGGAGTACTAGAGGTTCCTAAGTACAAAGCAAAAACTTCCAATTACAAAAATATCCTGAAAGGATTCAAAAGTTAAGGCAAATAGAAAGCTTCTTCCCAAGCAGAAATCCAGGAGAAAGAATATGAACCTTTGCAATAATGTCTCCCACCACCTAAGGGAGGTCCTCAAAATGAGTTTTTTTAGGAGCAAGCCTAAGAAGCCAAATTGCTGCAGAATAGCAGATTAACCGCCATCTTCTTTGGGCAGCAAGATATAAACCAGATGAAGACTGAGTAAGAATTCTACTGACTTTTTAAAAAACAAGACAGCAAAGAATTCACTATTTTTACTTTGAATCAGCAAAGAACTCACTATATAAATGATGAAACCCGCAACTCCCTCGCAAAATTTCAGTGTTGAAGAAGTGATTGACTTCCTACTACTGATTTTACATCAAACTCCAAATGAAAACCCATACCTAAGAGAGCAATCATAGTTGGGATATATATATATATATATATATAT